AAAAAAAAAAAAAAAAAAGAAAAAGGTAAAAATCTCTCAACGAAGATCTCTCAATTGGATGATTTAACGTTAAATGACCCTTCCATATTTTTCCCTACCTAAAAGTATTTGTTTTTATTAACATATTACATGGTCTAGCTCCCTGTTGCATAAACATTTATTATTCACGTCCACTGTTGACAACAGCATCGTTCCTTCTTATGAATAGCACGTTACAACGATACTAATTTTATCTAATGACTTTTAGTGTAATTCGGAAAGATCGCGGATAATAAACTACAGAATCTACAGAATTCTACCTTAAATAGTTCAAATAATCCCGCTTTTTTTTTTCTTTTCTTTTCGATTGATTCATTTCGACTATAGTACAATGTTACAAGCATGATTCATGGTTGGTTGATTGGTGACGTGTATCGCTATGGATCCATAGATCCGTCCGATGGCGAGATCTAACAGTATAGGTAATGGTATCTTATGTATACGCGATGTATAATCAATCGATGAACAAGTAGTTCGGGCACAAACGTTTCTTTTCGTTGATTCAGAAACGTTGGTTAATGGAATCCCGCGTTGTGTAGTCCCAAACACGGTACCCAAAGCTTTTATTCGTGCTTACACGGCTTTCAGACTTTCTTAAACGTTAATAATGCTTACTTTTTTTTTTTTGTATTTTGTACCCGCCGTTAAATCAACGTGGCTTTGTCTGAAATCATATTCACGCGTTCACGTATATAAGAAAGATCATATAGAAGAACAATATCGATTCATCATCGGGTACTCAAGGAAGTTAATCAAGTGCACCGAGTTTCAAAAGAATATTCTCGTTATCAGAAACCTCTCATAATTTGCACAGGCAGCAGGTAAGTAATAACATCTATTTAAGAACCAATTGACGTAATGTAAGAAAATAGGAAACAAAGAGTGTTCGTTAAGAAATTATATAATGAAAATGATTCGAGATAAAATGAAGACAAATTTCAACCCTCTTGTATAACCGATTGTTTACTCCTGATATATAATTTACTTGCACTCTCGGACGTGTTTAATCAACATGAGATTTAGTAGCTCCAATTATTTGTAGAATTCCACACATTCATAATTTGTTCAAATAACTAGCTTTCTTGAGAATCCGATGAGACTTCTAAGAAATGTCATTGACAAAAGAGAAAAAGAATACAATAACAGGAGACAAGAATAGCAGTTAAAAATGCTGGCACTTGATATGACAAGTTGAAATTATCCATCCAGTATTAATTGGACGAGTAAGGCAGAGGAGCTTTATTACTAACCTCTTCGTCGGAGGCTTGAGTAAAAGCTCCTATTGCCTGTTGAACTTGCGGAGCGGTAGATCCACTAATAGGATGAGCCGCAGCTTGTTTACCAAGTTTTACGGCGTCCTGCGTTGCTTGAGACTCAGTCCTTCTAATATAAGCAGCCTCCTTTTTAGGTGGTACTACCGGCTTATTTGGTGGCACTGGAGGAGGAACACCGCGAGATACTGGTGGCTTTTTCGAGGACAGCATACCAGATGCTTGAATCGCCGAACCAGATCCAACATGAAAACCAACCTTTCCTGCGGCTTGCGTTGATGGTATAAGTTTTACCGTGCCTCCAGGATTTACAGGAGCAGGCACAACCACACGTTTGTCTACAGCCTGAGGAATGAATACACAGGAGATCCGATTTAACGTTCGGGTTATCCCTTTGAAGCACCCCTAATAAAAGGGCATATATTGACATATCGCTGCATTTAAGATAATAATTAAAAACAGAAAGGTAAGGGGAAAAAAAAAGAGAAGTCGAAATTATACCAAATCACCAATATAAAGCGAAGAAATAAATCAATTGCCAGAGAAACAGTGATTGGAGATGTTTGAAAAATAGGCCGGCTTGTTACCTAAGCAAAAAAATTTGTGATATATATTTTTCAATCTTCAACTATAACCGAGATATGTTAATTCCTAACAATAATGTAGCAACTTAACGTGTCACTTTGCTGACAAAGTCATTGAACGAGGTAGTATAAATTTTATCTGCGAATATAATTGGAAGAATTGTAAAGTTCTACCATAAAAACTGTATGTAGATCTACTTTTCTTTGTTAGGATAGTACATTACACAACTTGGAAAAAATAACAAGTGAAACAGACAACCAAACCATGTAAAGTTAGCAATAGCAAATACAGGGTTGCAATTAGGAGGGCAAGCAGGGAAAATTTGTAAATAAGGCTCAAAAGTGAGTTGCATACAAGTTTTAATTAAGGAAATAATCAATGTACATACTAAAGTAATCTTATGTACAAAATAAGAATAGCACAAGTTAGACTTAAAATTTGATAGTGTATTAACTTATATAAAATAATACAATGTGACATAATCAATGTGAATTAAAGTCTACAAATATGTATGTGTATATGTGTGTATAATTAGAAATAAAAAGATAAACATTTTGTCACCTATATAATAAAAGAATATTTAATCATAACCATAATCGTGTAATTATAACGGGACATATTAAAGAAAATTTAATAATAACATATTAATGAAATTTCGATGTGATAATTAAAAAATCATTATTAAATCGGAAAAACATGCAACGCATCTGCAAGATGTGTGCATGCAACGTTAATATACGTAAGTACACTTATGACTTATTGTGTGTATATGTTTATTTTCTACTCTTTAATCATATTTCATGTATTTCACATTTTACATCTGTTCTTTGTATAAAAATATAGGAAATATCTAATGTTTATACTATTGTTCTAAATATATACATTAATTGTTTTTTTTTTTTTTTTTTTGACTTAGCAATATATACCGATTGTTGTTTTTACGTTGTCGTAATACAATCAGTAACATACCTATGTGTTAGAAAAAGAAATAAACCAATTTTATCCCAAAGCAGTTTCTCTTTGTTACATGGATTCATTAGAAATAATACGAAAAGTCAAAAAATGCGCAATAACTGTGCGTTCTAAAACAAGATGATAAGACATATTTATATTTATCATTATCATGCAATAATCATACAATAAAATTATTTTGTGTAACATTCAATTTGAAATATAAGACTAGAAAATTCTATTTAATTATAATATATGCATATATATATATATATATAATATAAAATAATATTATCGAGCCTAATAAATTAATTAATTATATTTCAATTATTTTTAGAAGCACTGTTTTACCATTAATAATTATAACTGTAATAATATCTAATATTTTAAAATATTCCTTGTATGATAATATTTTCACAAGTATTTTTATATATTTATACATATATTCTAATATATTTATTTATGTATTTTATTCATTTCTTAATAAAACAAATTTATGAATACATTATTATCATACTTTTATGCTTATAATAATAATAAATATTATTAAGCAGTGTATTAATATATTTACTTTTTTTTTTAAATCTCACATAAAAATCGATATATGTAGCTATATAATTTATTTTTACTAACTTTATTTTTAGAATAATTTCTTTTGAAATTACATACAAGCAATATACTGTTTAAATGTTTTCAATCTAATAACATATTATTATGTTATTTTTATACATTCTGTAAATTTTTATACAAATTAAGTGTGTAAAATTTTATAAAAAATCGTTGTGTATTAAAAATCAACATAATTGGTTGAAATAAAATGTATGAAAGATTTTAATAATATAAAAGCTATATTACCGAATATGATTTTTACAAGTATATGCATAAATACATAATGTGTGTAATATTTTTCAAATTAAAGTAGAATGTGAAGGAAAATGGGGGTAGTTTACCTGATTTTCAGCAGACGCTGCAGTTTCACCGCTAGAAGATGTAATATTGGATGTGTATGAGACCCCACGTAATGCCTGCCCAGGAGTTACTGACCTAGCAATTCCAGTAGCTACAAGGAAATTAATACAAATATTATTTCATTATCTCACGTAGATATACTCCTAGTATATTACTACTAAGAAATCAGTATGAATTGTCTAGTTTTATATAATCTTTAGAATAATATCTTAAGTACAAATTATTCATTGCTTTAATCCTGCACCAGTACTAAATTATAAATTAACATATTGACATTAGATAAATAGGTTCTTCTATAGATTCTAAATTATAAATTAACATATTGATATTAGATAAATAGAAATAACAGGTTCATCGTTAATATCATATGCATTATGGCACGTTTATGAGCAAGAGCTACAATTACCATTTCTTTTTCAATTAACTGTCAAAATGTAATTTATTAATTCATCCACTGTCATGCGATACGAATATTCTCTTAGAGAGGATATATCCAAAATATTTTAATCGTTTATATCCTATTTCAACTTTAGGATAAGTGCTGTTCTTACTTGGACCGCTGACAGGAACACTAGATACCGTGGCAGTGGGCTGAACAACTTTACTACTAACCATTGGAGTCCCAGTGCCAAGTACTGTACCTTTAACTGCACATAAGATATAATTATAAAAATATTCAATATTTCGTTTAATAATTATTTTATATTAGTATTTAGCAACATAATGGACATTAAAAATATTATTTGTTTACTACTGACACTTATTAAAATGTAATGTATATAATAATTTATAACAATTATTCTGTATAACATACTTGTTTGTGGTGCATTAGCAGGCTTAACTGTAGGCATAGCAACTAAATTAACTGGTTTGGCTGGAGGAGGTGGAGGAGTTGCACCTACTCCTCTTGGAGAACCCCGTGTTTGAGACTCTTTCCATACATCTATTTCACTCCTAAGTTTATCTAATTCTAATTCGAGATCTTTAGCTCTCTTTTCTTCTTTCGCTAAGGCTTGTTTATATTGTTGCCTTTCCATGTCAAATTGTGCAAGTTGTTTCTCTAGCTCTGCTTCCATTTGTAACGATTTTTTACTTTCTTCTTCAAGCCCTTCAGCCATAGAATCTATCCGAACTTTTTCTTCGCTTAATATCTGTGCTAAATCTTCTGATCTTTTTCTTTCTTCTATGTACTTCATAATTATTTTTTTGCGTTCAGCAAGCAGAAGAAGTACTATTTGCTTCTGTCGAGTTTTTTCTTCCTCTAAAGTTTCATTTGATTTTTTTAATTCTAATTCCAGTCTTTTTTTTTCTTGTTTCTCTAATTCTAATTCTTTTTTCAATCTTGTTCTTTCCTTTTCCAGTCCATATGTAATATCATCACCTTGGGCAGTATCATGTTCATGTTTTCGTTTCTCTTCTTCTAATTCCTTGATAACCTAAGGTAAATCAAGTATGAATATACAATTTATAAAATTCATTATTGTTTAAATAATTAAATATGATATACATACTGCTCTATGCCTAAGTTCCGCCTCTTTAAGAACTTTGGCCATTTTAAACTGCATACATCTTTGTTGTGTTACAAGCGCCTCTAGAGTAGCAACTTGTTTATTTATTTGATTTGGTTCATGCTCGCTAACTCCTCCTACCAATACAACATCACGTGCAAGCGCAGCATGTGGATCTGACGTTCCACTCAAATATCGAGTAGTTAGTAGATGTTTCAGTTTCTCTGACTGTAAAATGCATAAAGATCCACTCCATTCATATCTCAAATACGTGATGTTGACTTGTAACGTGTGAAGTCAATTATAAAAGCTCTCATAAATTAACAAAAAATAAATTACCTTTAATACTGCTATTACAATATCTCTTGCCTGTAATTCTCCTTCAAGATGTCCTAATAGTTTTAATAAATCAGTTTTGTTTAATTCCATTTTTGGATTACGCTGCAAGAGACATATGAAAAATTCTTATTAATAAATATGTGATCTGCATGATAAATCAATTTTTTTGAAAAGCAGGCACTTCCAAGTATATGTATACACACTTTTAATGTATTAGAGGAATTCTTATCAATTGCTTCTATATTGTTAGGTTGTTGTAGAGTCTGTTGATGCTGTTGCTGTATCGGTGACGGCGACGGCGATGGTGACGACGACGGAGACGAATGTTGTTGATAGGATTGCGAGGATGGTGTAGAAGTAAGTGACTGCATCTTCGTAGTGCAGACTGAGATAGTCGTCGACGATCCGGATGATCCATTCGCCGGTGAAACACTCGAACT